CAAATGTTTGGCATTTCTGCTTGACAAATGACTTCTAAGATTAATAATTTATCAGAGTTTCTGTCAATCAACTAATCGTTGCAGCTCTGAGCTTGATCATATTCTGACCTGACTTCTGACTCCAATATAGACGGCAACACTTGATAGTCCTCTCAAGTCTGTCAGTATCTGATAACAATTGTTCTTGTTCAAGTAGATCTTGTAGAAGTGCTTCTGCTTGCTTATAATGAAAATATCTTAATGTTTTTTGTTGTTCCTCAAAGTATTGTGTGTTGGCCTAATCTTCTGCAATACAATAAATTATTTATTTTTTGTGTCATACCATTAAAATTACTACCCCAAATTGATTGCATAACTCACAATAATACGACATATAAGCAACAGCTTCCTGATCCAAAGAAAAACAAATCATTGCTGCAAAACACATATTATACATATTATACATATATACAATATATGACTGATACAGTACTTGATGTATTGCTTTCAAAAAAAGCACTTCCTTTTGTTTGTCTTATTACAGACACATGCTGAAAAGTTGTCCAAAGTTTACCAGCCACTGCGTTCTTCCCTCGGAACCAAAAGTAAAATCTCTGTTGCCCACCTTCTTGCTGCTCGACAAGACATTTCCAAAATCCTACGTACAAGCAGTGGCAAGATAAGAGAGAAGACTGCTTGTGCCATTAATAAGGTGGGTTAAACACAGTGTAGTCACAAATTTGTTTCGTATTTCATGTGTTATTAATACATTGTTTTGTTGTCCTGTTTCTCTGCTAATAAGAGATGTGAGGAAGTCTAACATGACTTTTCAGTGTGTTGTGTGCTAAAACAGAGGCAGAAATGAAACAGACACTATCACTGTGACACTGAGTCATATGTACCTACACTAAAGATGAGACAATACAGGCAAAAACATCGTTTTGTCATGCACCGCTCAATTGTGGGCTATTTTTCTCCTTTATGAGTACTGGAAGGAAAATGCCCAAAATACCCATTAAGGTGTTTATTTTACTACAGTTTGTCTATTAGTGTATGTACATTTCTCCTAAATTCACCAAATTTAGCATTAGACAATGCCTCATTTGCATATTTAAACATACAATTTCAGAAAATATAAAAGTAACATAAAAAGTAATTGTGGTAATGTAGGTAATCAACTGGGGAAGTTGCATCTTGATATGTTCTATCTATATCTAAATTGTTTTACCTTATTCACCTTAGTGTCTTGCTAAAGTCCAGGTCCATTTACCATTTACCATATCTTTTAAAGGTTCTCTCAAAAGGAGTTTTTTTCATAGTCAGAAATCTCCCCTTTAAAATCACTTACACCGAATCTTGCAGTTTTATTACATTATATTATATTATATTACAAAAAATAATTGTCTTAATGTCATTATTGACTTGGGAAGTGTCATGGTGATATCTATTAGTTAAAAATGTTACTCTATTCACCTATAGTCTTACCTGTGTCTCCCCTTGAAAAATTTCTGTCTGGAGTTGGAGTCAAGATTTACTGAAAAACTGAAAGAGATCATTTTGAAGTTGATATTATCAGCGACTAGGGATGTTCCAGTCAAGTTTTTTTTTTTTTAGCCCCCAATCCGAGTTATTAAATATATAGAGTGTCTCGTGAAACCGAGTCCCAGCCCAATACTTGTATGTTTTTTATATAATATAGGTGCAAGTGCATACTTCAAGTGTAGTGCAGTTATTAAAATCAATCCAATGTATATGCTTGAGAACTGAATAGCTCTGCAATGCATTAAGAAAAAAAGCCAAAGCTGTTCCTTAATGTATCTTTTTTTTTTTTTTTTTTTTTACACAAGGTATAAAATACCAAACCTGTTGGTCCTGTTTGTATTCTGCCGAGTGTTGATTTCCGTTGTCTCTACATCTTTTGCGCAGATTAGATGAATTAATTACGCTTCTTGTTAGCAGGGCTTTTGTTGTACTTGCAGTAGCGTGGTGAGTGTGGTTTTGTCAGCTCTTTACAGCTGTAGCGCCCATCTACAATGAAACTCTGCTAACACAGAGAGCAGATTGGAGGAAAGTGACAATAGAGAGAGTTGATGGCTGCACCGTGCATGAAAGCTTTGTGATTAAAAACAGCTGTGTGACAGCTGAACAAAACATTGGATTGGGTCAATAAAGCTCAACATAGCTGATACCAATCAGTTAAAAAATTTAACTGATCATACTGAGTTCATCATCAAGGCATTTTTTAACTGATTCGACAGGTTTCTACTCATGTAAACAAATTTCCCCGCCGAGATCAATAAAGTATTTCTGATTCTGATTCTGAATGACTGAAGCACTAGCATCGGATGAATTTCAGTTGTTGTCCCGTTTCTTACACATAATTTCCAGTCAAAGTGACAGAAATGTAATCTTATCGAAACAACAAGCAAAATTGGGGTCAAATTTGGAGGTGCAAGTAGACATCCTTTTGAACTGTCTTATGTCCTTTTCTCAGGTCCTAATGGGCCGAGTCCCAGACAGGGGAGGCAGACCCTGTGAGATTGAACCCCCTCCTCCAGAGATGCCCTCCTGGCAGAAGCGTCAGGATGCTCCCCAAGGTGGAGGACACTATAGTGGGAGTGGGCACGGAGGGGGCAGGGGTTATGATCACTACTCCCAAAGTGGCCGTGGAGGATATGAGAGAGGAGGCGGAGGAGGACATGGAGACAGGGGAGGCAGAGGAGGAGGTGGTAGAGGGGGGAAGGTGCAAGGAGGCTGGGGAGATGGAGGTGGGAGAGTCGGTTACAATCAGGGCCACTATCAAGATGCAGGAGGGCATCAGGTAGGAGGAGGGAGAGGTGGTTACGGAGCAGGAGGGAACAACCAAGGAGGTTTCCAGGACCCTGGCTACCATGGAGGAGGCGGTTACCATGACAATTACCACCAAGATGGAGGCTGGCATCAGGAAAGAGGTGGGGTTCGAGGAGGCCGGGGGGGCAGGGGAAGAGGAAGTCGAGGAGGACAAGGACAAGGAGGAGGCTGGGGAGGGAGAGGGGGTCAAAATTTTAATCAAGGAGGACAGTTTGAACAGTTCTTCCAACATGGTGGGCAGCACTACAACCAAGCTGGCTTTAACCAAGGCAGACACTACACTAGTTGAAGATACAGTGTGGGGCATCGCAGCAGAGTCCATTCAGAGCTCGACTGCTTATCATGCTGGAATAGATTTGAAATGCCTTATCATCTGATTTTGAATTTTCAAAAGTTAACTACAACGTTATATGAGGAACTAGGACATATACACATACGGATGTATAAGTATGTACTGTATATACTCACTACAGGCTGTTTTGGAATTATTGCTTTACTAGAGAAGGCAGTTCAGATGCAGTCCTTTGCTTTTTCATACTGGTGTGTTAATGTTTCTCTGCCTCCTCAATTCAAACCAGCAGCTCTGCTATAAATGGTTAGTTGGACTCTGCTGTCTTGACCTCATTTTGACTTATTTAGCCTTATGTTGGACTTTATTTTGAAAAACAGGAAAGGTTCCTAAGATTTCAGTGTTAGTGTGTCTGCTATGGATCTGACATTTGAAGTACACATCATTATTACATGTAGGGTTGAATTTGTTAATAAGTTCATTAAATTTGACAATTACAAGAAATAGATTTGACTGGCATCTCCTTTGTTACTTATTTAAAAGATATCATCTACTGCTCATGGAAGATTGTGTGCATACATATATGGATGTTGGAAAGCTTGCATGAATGTGTGAATGAGCAATAAAACCTGAAATAAAAGAACGTATCCCTTTTTCATTCAGTGGTGTGATTATCTAAGTCAATGAACTGATAAAGAAATGAATGAGCAAAATTAGTTTTTTGCCTGACACCTCACTCAAATGTTTACTGTACAAATGACAGAGATCTGCACAGGCACAAAATAATCTAAACATCTGATTATAATTACACATAACATTAGTAAATAGTTTTAGATTATTCAGTATAAATTCACTATAGAATTTAAAATTATTTTAAGTCCTTTTCCACTCAATGTGTTTTCTTGTTCCTACAGTGGGATTTTTGAGCTTTACTGTGTAGAATGATGTACAGTTTAAGTCAGACATACTTTTGATTAGGACATCTACTTTGTGAATTGAGGATTTTTTATAACATTTTAGTTTTATTTTAGGGACTGATTATTTCACTTACAGTTCACTATATCACAATTCCAGTGGGCCAGAATTAGAATAGAATATGATGTCATGGCTTTAGAAGCTTTTGATAGGATAATTGACATAATTTGAGTAAACTTGAACTGTAACTCTTATTTAGGCCTACCTTCAAACTCACTGCCTTTTTGTGTCCTAAACACTGTGGACCTGCATCAGTTTGCCTACCTGGCAACCCAAATCCACTGGGGATCACCACAGCCATTCACCTTGCACTGACTAACCTGGACAAATAGGGATTTAACACCACACCCTGTAGCTGGGCACACATCCTTTACTAATACAGGAGCAGAGCCCACGGCATCATCAGTGACCCCACATACCTGAGTATGTCCCCACCTGTTTGTCCTACTTACCTATCTCTGATTTCAATTGTTGTATTTACATATACTGTATACATATACTATATTCATTGCATTGCACTAAATTATAAATTGCACAATTATCGTAATTTTCATTACTATTACTATTGCTACTATTATACTACCTATTTATCTATTCAACTCCACTGATTGGTACATTAAATCCTACTACACTGCACTCTGTCACTCTACTGCATCTCACTGGATCCTACTTAAACTTTGTATACTGTACTACCATATTAATCATACAATTGTTATGCTGTACAAGTATTACTATGACAATAAAGTTGATTGAATTGGACCTTGAATCGAAATGATCTAGATCCTTTTAGTTTTTTTTTTTTTTTAGGGATTTAGATTGTAACTTGATTGTACTCCGGCACGGTAGGTGGCAGTATGCACTTTGAGATTACAATCTGCCAACAAAAGCAAAAACGCAGAAGAAAAATAATTGTTTCCTATGTCACTGTGGTAGTCTTGGTGGCGGCCACAGCAAGATTTTAGACAGATGAACCTTACGCGTAATTGGCCAGAAAAATTGCACATTTGCTGGAAATTTCTTTTCTCGGCGATATGGGTGTTTGCATGCAGTCTTGAGCACAAACATGTACCGCCCAGGTAAACCTGCACACGGGCCCCCACCGTTCGGACCCCCACCAACCTATGGTTCTCCTTTCAGGCTCGGAGGGCCCTGTAGTGTTCCTCCTCCTGGACACTTACCCCCTGGACCGTGTGCACCATTTTCGGCTTCAGCATCAGATAGCCATTTTCTCCACAACAGGCCACCAAGAGGGCATTTCACCAGGGTACGTACCCAACAGTATAGTAAAGCTAGCTCAGCTGGCTAAGTTAGCTAACGTTACATGTTTCAGATAAGAGATTGGTTAGTATTGTGCTAACTAGAGAAAACAGATTCACAGAGCTCTGTGAGAATTAGCTATAAATGTAAATGTAAAATGTCAATGACTGTAACTGTATGTCAATGGATTTTCACCAGAGGAAGGATCGCCTGAGTTCACAGCATCTTATATTATTGTATCAAACTATTTTTCCTACGATACCACGCATTTTTTAGACAAATATGACGTCAGTTACGATAGGCGTAGGTAGTCAAAATCTTGGGTTTTTTGCCCCTTTCTAGAGTGCATATAAAGAAATGTTTATACAACCAAAGGTCTTAACCCTTAAACTTAAGCATGCTTGTCTGAAACTTTAAAGGAGCAATATGTTAGACTGAAAGCAAGTATTCAATCGGTACAGTTCAAATTCTCCTGGTGACGATTTCATTAATGTCATCATAAACCTAAACAACTGTGAGTATTTGACTCTAACTTGCAATCAAATTTCACATTATCATTCTATTCACAAATTTACATACATTTATCCAGATCTCACATCTAATATGAATGAAAAAAAGTTGTTTGTGTGTCTATAAGCTGTGGCAGAGGTAGACAGAGGAGTTCAACCCCATAATTATATTTGACCAACACACAAACATAAAAATGAAAATATTTATAGCTTTTTCCATCACAAGTATCTAACAGACTGTAAGTCACACCATGTGCGAGATGCGAGTGTGAGCCCATAATGTTAGAAACAGTAGGAGCTGAGGGAAGGCCAAATCACTTGACACACAAACCACCAAAAAAACACTGCACATTTTACTGTGTTGTCCTAAAACAGCATCTTAATCTACCCAGACCACAACAACTTGGAGTCAGAACACATCAGTAACAGACCATATACGCTGCTTAAAGAGAGAGAGCCTGAAACAGCCGAGGACACACAAAACGCGACAAAGTCGACACAGTTTCCAAATCGACCCAATAATTAAAAATATATTTAAACTCACCACTGACATTTTCAAAGCAGCGCATTATGCTGGTTGTTGTTTAAGAGGACGTTTGAAAACACATCCATCTGTTATTTCCCAATTTACCAAACTAATTGAGTTGACTAATTTTACACTGCAAAAAGTAATGGGAAAGGTGAGCTCACGTAATTGACGAGATGGTGAGCGACCCACAGCTCCTGGAGAGTAAATAAACATAAACCCGTTCTGCCATAAATTTGATCATTTTGTCTAGGTTTATCACATCTTATGTTGATAAATGAATATATTTGTAACTATCCAGGTGGAGTTCATGGAAAACTATGATACTCTCCTAGTTATGTCCTCACTTGGTTTATTTTATGGACACATCTGTGTCTGGCTGTGGTCTATGCTGCAAAACAGCGATACCAAGTTTCCTTTGGTTTGTTTGTTTGTTTGGTTGAGAGACATAGAGGATCATTCAGGTTTGTTACCTTCAGCAAAAAATAAACATCCCCACACACTGCTGCAACAAGGGAGTTTGGTCTGAATAAAGAGTGTAAGCATGTCAGTGTTAGTCAGATAACCTTAACTGAAGCTCAATGTTACTTGTTCAGGACAAAATTTGCCAACACAACGTCCATCTTGAAATCCTTTTTGGTACAAGCTATCTCCATCTTTCAAATGCACCTCCAACATTTAACCGTATTTAAACATGTCTCTGGTCATGGAGCTTTTAGACAGATGCAGAGACTTTTTTGGTCCAATCCAATCCAACTTTATTTGTTAAGCACTTTAAAACAACCAAAGTTGTACAGGAGAATAAATAAGACATCGTAAATAAAAGACATAACAGCTCACATGAGGCGCAAAATAACATATAATACAGCAATAAAATGAAAAGACATAAAACATGAGTAAAAATAATAACCATGCAATAAAAAGCAATCAAAAAGTAAAAATAACAAATACAAAAAATAAATCAAGTAAATAAAGTCGACATCTTACTAGGGGTCAAAGGCCACAGAGAAGAGATGGGTTTTAAGACTGGTTTTAAAAACAGACAGAGAAGAGGCCTGTTTAATGTGCAGAGGCAGATCATTCCATAATTTAGGAGCAGACACAGCAAAGGCACGGCCCCCTCTGAGCTTCCGCTTAGTTTTAGGCACACTCAGGAGCAGCTGATCATCTGACCTGAGGGGGCGGACGGGTATATAGTGGTGTAGAAGCTCAGAGAGGTAGGGCAGGGCAAGACCATTCAGGGATTTAAAAGCAAATAAAAGAATTTTAAAATGGATCCTAAATTGAATAGGCAGCCAGTGGAGTGAGGCTAAAATGGGGGAAATGTGCTCATGTTTACGTGTGCCAGTTAAAAGACGTGCAGCAGCATTCTGTACCATCTGAAGACGGGCGATGGAGGACCCACTAACCCCCACATATAGTGCATTACAGTAATCCAGCCGAGTGGTAACAAAGGCGTGGATTACCGTCTCAAAGTGCTGCCTTGATAGAATTGGCTTTATTTTGGCCAGCTGCCTCAAATGGAAAAAGCTTGTCGGACAGACTCCATTAGTTCACACCAGAATGTAAATTTAAAATGAGATTGATGAGACAGGTTATGACATTGTTGTCAGAGACGCCACTATTTCTATTCAGTTTCCTTAATCTTTGATGACCATACTTTGATGACTTAATTCAGTGTATGTATAGACCCCTACTGTGCTGTATTACACTACAGTAGTGTGATGTATTGCAGAAAACATGTGTTAGCCCTATGCATTTTTACTATCTTTTAATTCTATTGTTTGTCTTACTGGCCATGGGCTTTAGGCCGGCAGTGAAAATAGAGGGACTGATTTCACCCAAAAAGGGACAGGGCATGTTGCAAGGCCAAAATGCCTGGATTGGCTGCACTCATCGATCTGAACCAACTTAGCATTTTGAAATGTTTTATTGTTTAACCATTATGTCCTTATTTAATCAGAATCTGTATTTATTTTTTTCTGCTTATGTGTAATAATTTGGTACTAGCTGTGCTAGTACACTGTGCTTGTGAAAACCATTGACAGTATATGTAATGGACAGAGCTTCCACGTCTGTGAAGTTACGCCAACACAGGAGTGTTTTAAACCTATTTTTAAGTGTTATGGCTTTGACAAACTGTCGTGGCGACGACCAAAACGCCAAACTCAAGGCTTCAGAGCAGTACTGCACAAACTAATGGGTGACGCCATGATAGGTTCACACTCATGTACACATACACAAACATAGCAGAGGTGGATGAGGGAAAGTGCATGGAGCAGATCGCGTCTCTACATGTTTATGCTTTTGGAACAGTGTATTGATAAGGTGTTGGCTTTTTAACTTTTTAATACCAGATTTCTGGATTTCCGGATTTCCCATCCCTACATAATATGATTTTTCTTATGTATCCCATTTCAGGCAGTCTTTTGCGATATGTTCATCGTTCATGTCTATATTGCAATGCCAATGAAAATACAATTTATCTTACGGTGCAGGCACATTTGTCAACACAGTATGATGTAACTGCTCTCTCGATAAGTCGGTATAAGAAATTTTTGTTTCTTCTTTAAAGAAAAATAGATGTTGTTTGTAAGCCTTGTATAAAATTATTGTGCATATTAATCTAGGCCTAAAATAATGTTTTGGGTGGCTTATAGTGACCTTTTATATACCTTGTTATCGTGCAAACAGTAATAAGCTTAAGCAGTAGCATGGTAATTTGTATTGTGTATATAAAATGTTTTGGAGAAAAAATAACTTTTAAAGCATTGTAAAAAAAAAAAGGAGTGCTCTGATTGATTGATTGACCAATCGTTATCAGCCAATATGCGCTCTAAATAGTTTGAGTGGCTGTAAATGCCAATCAGAACATCCAATCAGATGACGCAGTTCTTGTATTCTACAGGAAAATTATATTTAGTCTTTCCCACCCATAGATTTGTACTTTGGCAGGCTGCCCGGTATATTAACTCCTGGCGACTCATAGTATTTTGCAGAGAAACCGAGAGAGATGTTATCTAGTAGACACAGTGGATATTTTACAATCACAGACCAGTTAAAGGAACAGTTTTTAGGGCTTTTATTGCCTTTAATCGACAGTGACAGCTGAAGAGTGATAAGAAAGCGGTGAGAGAGAGGGCACGACACCCAGCAAAGGGTCACAGGTCAGACTCAAAACCATGGTCGCTGCAACAAGGACTTGGGGCACATGGGGCGCCAGTTCAACAAGGTTAGCTACGTGCCCAAACAGTTGAGTTGGGGGGAAGAAAAGCAAATTACAGTAGTTTGTGAAACACTACAAGGTGGAGAATTAAGTACAATTAAAATGATGAAATAAGAAATTACTTATAGAAATATGCAGGAAACGCTGCTAGTTTAAGATGTGTCTCTAAGAGAGAGAGTAGTAATATGTTGCCTGCCAATAAATAAACAGTTGTCAATTCATGATACTTTAAATTAATCTCTTAATTTTATTTCCTGATATACAATGTTGTTAAGAATAGTTATATAAATTAGACCTCGCCCTCCACGTCACCCCATGCCCAAGCCTTCATCGCTGGAAGCTGAGGGAGACAGCTCTACATTGTCACACGTTTCAGACACCTTGCAAAAGACTTAAACTTTCATAGTGAGATTCTTCACTGCGAAACTTGGAAATTCAGCGCCATGCCACGGACACGCCATGTGACACACAGTAAATATTTGATTAACTTTTGATCACCTATGTGTCTAGATTGCAGTGATCGAATTTGAAGTCAATCCGATAAAATCTGTAGGAGGAGTTAGTTCAAATTGAAGCCCTGAAATGCCGGAAACGGCATCACAGCTTGACATTTGATTCAAGCTGGCCAACTTTGACGGCACGCCACAGACACACCCTTCAACATACAGTCGCAAATTGCGTAAGTTTTAATCAGTAACATTTTTTGAATGTACTGTCCAATATTGAAGCAGATCTGATAAATTCGT